TCCAACGTTTCTTCGATTCGATCACCATCCCACCATTGACGTCAGTAAAATATCCACAATCGCTGATACGAATTCAACGTACCTCCGGAAATGGGAAGACGATGGCTTTCCTCAATGGATTGATTGCGACCCTTTGACTCCTCGATCCAAATTCGAACTCTTTTCTTCTTTCTTTTGTCGCATTTCCATTGATACTCGAGTTAGGATCTTTGTTCGAGTTTTTGCGATCGATCTAAAAGGCTAAAAGGATGGTGAAACCATCGGATTTCAGAGCAGTTCAAGGGTTTATTCGGTTGCATTACAGTCGGGTCAACCCGGTTACAATCGGCCGATCAAACCCATCGGCTTTGTCTTCTCCGGCTATTCCCTCGAACGGTGTTTCACAGTTTCAGTCTAGGTTCAGCTTCCACAGCTTATCATCGAAACCCACTTCCACAAACGTGGGATCATCACAGATTCTGTCTAGTCCTAAGCTTAATCCTCCAAAATTGCAGGCTTTGGGTTTGCCTCGTGTGAATTTGAGTTTTGCATCGGCGTTTAGATTGGTCTCTACTAAGAGCACTGGATTTCGTAAGATTGATGAGAGTTTTGCGAGAAAAGTTGTTGACAAGCCTGTGAAAGCCGTTCGTTCAACTTTTGCTAGATACCGTGAAGCTATAGGGTTGCACATTGAAGCATTTTTTAAAAAGAATAGTCTTGTTTTGTTTGGAGCTGGTGGAGTTTTTGTATGTATTTTCCTTTGGAGGATTATGTTTGGAATTGCCAACACTTTTGTTGGACTCTCAGAGGGCATGGCTAAGTATGGGTTTCTTGCACTCTCCTCAGCCATTGTAGCGTTTTCTGTAAGTTCCGCATGCTTCTCGCTGATAATATGTGTTTCAATGTTGGCTCGGTTTCTTAAGGCTGTTTCAGTGATTGACTCTACAATGTTTGCTCAGTGCTATGAAGCTGTCCTATAGATAATGAAATTGAGGAATTACTCTGTAGTTTTCAAAGTATGGTTATTAGTTGATAGTGAAAGGATTTGGAACTTTGTTATATGCAATGATAATATTGGTTTTGTTTCATTAGGACTAGAGCTATAGCCTGTAGGTACATTCTGTTTGTTAACTGATGTTCTTCTACAGGCAATCTTGCATGGTGTTTAATGACTTATAGCTAGTAGGAATGCAGGATATTGTTTTTATGTTCATGTTTTGTGTATCTATGAAGAAAAAATTGCTATAAGATATGGTTGTGTCGCTGTTACAGTCTCTTTCACTTATATCATAAAGAGATCACTCCTTTCACAGCGATCTGCATTTTTCTAATGATAGGGATTATACCTCCGCTCAAGGTTCACAATAAATCCCGATAAAGTTTACAGGATGACCATGAGGAAGATCAACACAGCAGCTGAAGTTCTAGAAGTTATGGGCGCTCCTCTTTCAGGTTCAGATTTACGAGCTTATGTGATGTCAGGTGGTGGCATATCATTCAAGAAATTCAAGCCAACAATTAGGAGCAAGCGCTGCTTTCTACTATTCCCTGTTCAAGGTTCTGAGAGAAAGGGACTTGTTAGCGTCGAAGTTAAGAAGAAGAAAGGCCAGGTTTCACTTTCTCAACTCCACACTTGCACTTCTACTGGATGGTTATAATCTTTAAATTTGTGATATGCGTTGAAAAAGTTCAGCGCTCAACTCTTAGCTATAGGTCTACTGTATCTACCTTTGGACTGAATGTAGCAGATTAGAGCTGTTGTGAGTTGGTTAAAGTTTGGTTGGTCATTTGGTTTAAATTGAAGAGTCTCTCATCAATTGATCTCTCTGCTTTGCCGAGTTGGAAAAAAGAATTGCAGACTCATTGCGTTTGTCTGTCTGATTAAACTTACAGGCTTGCATACCACTTATGCCCTCACTATTGTGAGTTTTAGTCTGTTGTCTCATTTTCATGTCTTTGTTTCTTCAGTATGACATGAGGCTTTTGGCGGTGGATATTCCAATGGCGTCAGGTCCTGACCAACGGTTATTTCTGATTGGCGATGAAGATGGGTACAAAGTTGGTGGTGGTTTAATCTCTGAGTTAAGAGACCCTGTTGTGAAAGCCATGGCAGCAACTAAGGAGTTCGATAATCTTGACAGAATCGAAGAGGAAGAAGACGCTGAAAGAGAACTTCAAGAAGCTGAAAGAAAGCACCGCGAAGAGATCGAGAAGCTCGAGAAAGAGAGCTCGTAAACTAGTTTTTTCTTCCCCGGAAATCTTGAAAACGTTTCTTCACACCTTCAGTGGATATAAAAACAACACCATGAGTCTTTTCAAAACCCAGTTTTTTTTTTTGGTAATTTTCGACAAATAAATTTCATGGGCTATTGCATCCCATCATTGATGTAGAGCTCATTGCCAAAGATTTTCTCTTGTGTCTTGTATCAGAGTATGCTACACTAATCTGTGATTACTGATTCTTCATACATTGCTGTGTCAGATTTCAGCTTATAATCGTTTTGGTTAAGAATTTTTGTTTTCTGGTTTTACCGGTTAATACATTATAAATGCACAATATAACCCAAAGAGACAAAGGCTATGCCATATCCTATGTTGTCTTAACCAGGTTTCTATTCTACAAAATTAGCCATTAGATGTTATGGTTAATCAAAGCCAAATTTCCCATCGAAGAAACATGTAAAGATAAAATGTTGCTTAAATTGAACGTTCTCTGAATCCTTCTTGTTGATTTTTCTGAATCTTTTCATAGAAACAGTTTTGATCTTTGAATCTTGGTTTTATCTCTTTCTCCTTTGCTTTGAGGCTGAAACTAATTATGATGCAATGCAAGCCACGAACAATATGAAGTTGGCAAGATCTAGAGGTAAGCCTTTCTCAAATTTCTTTACCCGAAGTACCACCTTTGCTTTCATCTTTCAAACTTTTTACATTAGCTAGGCCATTTGATTTCCTTTGCAATTAATCTCTTCTTCTTTTTAAGATTGTTACATCAAGAAAAAGTGTTTTGGTTTGTGATTTTGGACTCAGGGAGCTAATGATCAACCTAGGGTTCTAAAGGGTTAATGGGAAATCATTGTAGAAAGGTAAGACCTAAGAATCGACGAGTTTCATGGAGATCATGTCAAATCTTTTAGCAAATTCATGTTTAAACCATTCAATGTAAATTGTAGCCTTTGTGCAGCTTCAGATGATGAAGAATAGTGACAGAAACTCTTATGTTCTTTAACAGATGTGGTCATGTATATGCTGTTGCAGCAGCAGCAACAAGAAGGCTCAAATTCGGTGCACGAAAGGGACCTGCTTTTTGAAAGGAAAGGTTCATCCGGTGACTAGAATTGAGAAGTGGGAGGAGAAGATCAAAGAAGCTAACAGTAACGGCAAGATTGTAAGCTCGTCCTCCTTTGATTTGCTTCCCTTTTTTTTTGCATTCTTCGTATGCAAAACAACTCGATATGATCTGATTCTTGTAACATGAAACAGCTGGTTGTAAAATTCAAGGCGTCGTGGTGTGTACCTTGTAGAGAAATGGCACCAATATACCAGGAACTTGCGTCCACATACACTTCAATGATATTTGTTACTATAGACGTCGAAGAGCTCGCTGTAAGTAACCAAAAACTTCTGGTCCTTGGAATGATTTCGAGTTGCTCGACTTTGAGGGCTTAAAATGTGTATAAAAACAGGAGTTTAGTCATGAATGGAATGTGGAAGCAACTCCAACAGTAGTGTTCCTCAAGAATGGAAGGCAAATGGATAAACTTGTAGGTGGAGATGCTGCAGAGCTTCAGAAGAAAACAGCAGCAGCTGCAGATCTCCTTCTCAGACAATCTTAGTTATATTAGAATCTAAATGTCGGAATTTATTCAAATGCAGATCTCCTTCTCAGATCAAGTTAGGATCACAGAATTTTGTTAACTTTGATGCATACTTGTGGTGCCTTAAGAAGACTTGCCAATAATTGCAAGTAGAGAATGAGAAGCAAGGGCTACTCTCTGAACCATTTACTAAGCCATAGATGATAATCAGAATTTATTGCAAAGCAAAACTATGCTTTGCTAAGATACAGCTTGCAACTATAGGTTCCTTCTCTTTAAGCCATAAGCTGAGGCTTGCAAAAAGACTGTACTAGATGTTTCTATGAATCAGAATCCGAGTTTGAATCTGTTTCTGCATCACAATTCACACCAAATGGTCTCAATCTGTTTGTGTTTGCTTCCAACGGGGGCATGCCATCATCATCATCACTTGAATCAACTTCACCGTCATTTTCTTGATGTACGATGGGTAGTTGAGAGCTTTCATCAGCCGGAATTGGCTTAATATCTCTGAAGATTTCTGGCCTGTATTCACCATGTCCAGACTAACATGAGCTATATACTGAATAAAACTTAGACGTCATTCGAACACAAGAAAAGAAAGAAGCTTTTACCATTCCGGAGACTTCTGGAGGAGACGGACTTGCTCAAAGAATAGAACTTTGCAGACAATAGATGTAACTTTTCTACCAAATTCTTGTGCCTTTTCCTTTCCTGTATGGTCAATCACTACAAAGCTTCCTGCAAATCAGTGCAGCAACAAGAATAAAACACCGTCTTCGTCCACACAAATCATGCAGTAAAGCTAACCATTCAAGAAAGAACAGAATCGGAAAGTTGTACAAGATTGAGTCACAATTACTAAGTGCGATTCGATATTCCATTCTTCGGTTTAAACAAATCAGAGAGAAGAAACAAGTAACTTTGTTTATGAAAAGTACCTCGTCTGATCCACATGCTCTCACGAAATTTGGCTGGAAACAATGCTAATGAGTTTTCTCCTTTTGCATCCATTATCTTCAAAGAGACAGAAAAACAGCATAAAGAACTATGAGGCTTAATTTACTATGAAGTAAAAATGCAATCTTTAATCAGTTCATACATATACAAACTAAGCCAATCCATTGAGAGAGATATCACAAGAAAATGCTATGAATTGGTGAGAGTGAAACCCAAATAACAATAAAGGAGGCAAATTTATACCTCAATTTGATTGGAGCCTCTAAGAGAGACGACCTGAGCAATGCTCTGACATTCCTCAAGCGTGAAATCTTGTTCTGAAGCCGCTTGTTTCAGATTCCTTCTTCCTCTGTTCATCTCTTTCAACTCAAATCTTCAAAAAAAAAGTCCAAACTTTAACAACAAAATCAAACCCAAAAGAGCAAAAACCACAGAAATCGAGATTAGGGTTTTGCACTTGTGCCGTTTAACTGGAATTCGAGTCAGTTCCTATAGAGAAGCAAACACAACGATTTTGTTCAACGAGGGTAGTTTCGTTAATTTATTTATAAGACGAGGGTATTTTTGTCACTTACTGACCAAGTTACGTCGGTGAGACCGGAGCTCTCGGGATTTGCAGATAAACCGGAATTCGTTTTTAAACTGTTAAAACACTGTGCGGCGGTCGGTAACTCTTCACCGGCGCCTGGATTTCATTCCTCCACCGTCTCCGTCGATTCGAGAATCCTGATATGTTCGAAACCTAATTCACCTTCACAGGTTCGGAATTATGTTCTCTTTCTAATCTTAACTTTGAGCTAGTTTCCGTATGTTATTATATAGCTGATGTATCGTAAGGTTTTACAAGTTAAGAACTTTCTTTGAGATTGCATAAAGTTCATAGCTTTTTGCGTATCGTTTGCCTTTTCCGGGTATCTTCTTTATGAATTTGATTCCGTATTAGTTTCTGTTTTAGGTTTTTTTTTGTAGTGATGGGTAGGAGAAAGCAATCCAAGCCGCAGCGTTCGGTGGGTTTGATCACAGATACTGGTCTAGATTCCGATAGTAAGCGATTATCCGGAGATGATGCGGAATGTTCTCGAGAAAAGAGTGTTGAAGATATCGATAAGCCGTATTATGTGAACATATGTTTAAGTAGTCGAATTTCGGATCAGCATCACTTTGATATAGCTGAAGTTGTTCCAACGAATTTAAGTTTTAGAGATAGTGGTTCACTCACACCCATTGGGATTGATCATGGTCTGGATTGCTCATTACGGTTTCGGCTATGCAATGTGACTAGTTTTGTTGATCGGATTAAGCTTGGTCATTGGCCGGTATTGTCTTCGAGTGATATAACTTTGGAATTGGTTGATAAAAAGATGTCTGATGATGAGGCTGTGTCAGTGATTTGGTCTGCAAGTTTTGACGGTCCAGGGGAAGGGGTTTCGGGTCTTGCTCATTTGGCAAGCATAAAGTTTTTGACTTTAAGGCTCGTGCCGGGTAATCAGGGATTGTTGTCTCCTAGAGTTAGAGTTGAAATGCTTCAGCAGGCTTTTGATGCTTGTGATTCGCTTCTTGAGAATACAAGGCAAATATGGAAGAAGAGTATGATTCATGTCATGTCTTGGTTGAGGCCAGAGGTAATGACTTCAGAGGCTAGGTATGGGACACATTTAAACGTGCAGGAAATTGAGAGATCGATGGTGGTGGAAGCTGAAACTTTGGACTCTAGTAAACAGTCGAGGTTTGATGCTGCTGCTTTTTATGAATCCATAAAGCCATCAAAGTGAGTATGCAAAGT